AATTATTTTCCGTCACTTTTGGGCATATTTTGTAGGAGAGCTACCGATGAAAAATAATCTTATCCTGATCCTCCTCACTATTCCGGCACAACCTCCATACCGCAACTATAGGTACAGCACTATTACTGGAACACCTACCCTATTAAGTTTTGGATTTTGTTAAACCAATTTTATTTTATTTTTAAATTTGATAAGGCTCAATCGAATTAATTTTATAGAGTTGATGATTCTTGTTCACTATACAAAACTAGAGTCAAAAGGTACAACAAAATAAGCACTTTATCTTCCACTATCCAATAAGGTCCGCTTCCAGTGGGTTCATTGTATGACAGTATGGGTGCCAACGGGAGGCAGAGCGCTTTCATTGTAGCAATGAACGCAAAACGTGGTCATCACTCACACACTCATCGAGAAATGGTTGCTTTTCAAAGTCGACGACGCATCGACCGAAAGAACTGCTGATGAAGAACAATGAGGAGAACCACACAATGGTTGCTGCCGAGTAAATAGACGATCGCGTGACACACATCGAGAGTGGCCTGCTCCTGTCAACAGTGAACAGTGAACAGTGAATATTGCACGTAGAAGTTAAAAACTTCGCCTAGGAGTCATTGATGGAAAATAATATGATTAGTGTTTACATTCCATGTTTAGTGTACAAGGTGGCGATGAATGAAAAACACGTGCGCGAGTGGATTTTGTACGGACGTACTGCGAATCCTGACTTTTCAATACGGGAACTTGCAAAAAAAGGTGGATTTACCTTAATCCACTGTTCACGGTGTGTTCAAATCATTTTCAGAACGTTTGACCACAGACAAACAGACATATCACTCACAATCACATTCATCGCAAATAATCTTTTAGTAGGGAATGTGTTTGCATTTGTCATGGTGGCGCCACTGAAGCATTGAGCAAGCCACCACATTTCGAACTTATCAGTGCTGCCAGCTCTTTTTCACGTCTAGTTAGTAGATGTCAGCTCTTGAAAATGATAAGTGGTCAAGGCATCTCACTGGAGACACAAACCACATTACATCAACCATATTACATCAAAACTGCTGCACATTAGTCATTCCGTTCCTAATATTACGTTGTACGATGTACACAGAATTCGAGAACAAATCATGTTGTTGACTGTAATATTCTATCAATTTTTACCAGTCATTGATGTTCAATACTTCACCATGAATATCATTGATTGCATCTTCTGTGTACACATTGAAGTGATGAGCGGTGGTAGAAAGGGCACTAATAAGTGATGAGAATTTTTCCTACGGATCCGTTTTTCTGCAGAATTCAATCAATTCTACAGATCTTCGGTAAATTTCGTAGAACTGACATCACTGACTTCCATCTGTTTTGTTTTGATTCAACACAGCTGACGCGTTGACAGAACGAGGGAAAAGCAACTAGTGAAAAAATTGCATACACGAGGGATGCTCCGGTTGCAAAATATTGCTTGGGAATCTGGATGATAGATGGTGCTAGTGCGCATGCAAAATACGCTTGACTATATTTTTTGAAGAATTTTCTCCTAAGAGTTATGTCTGTTTGTCTGTGGTTTGACGGTCAAGAGGAAACCGAGGTGATAAAAATATTGAACGTGCTGATCCTGTCATAGACCGAAAGGTGAAGAGGATATTGAAAAAAAAACCCGAATCCCTCTGTTCGAAAGGTGGCTTGTAAAACAGGAATGTCACCTGGTTTATCCAAAAATCAAAACAGCGCTTGGGGCTGAAGTAAAAACAGTTCCAAACCGCAACCACAAAACAGAAGACAGCAAAATCACGGGCTCGACTTTGGACGACGAAACTTATTTCCTGGAGGATTTCAAGCAGCTTCCATGGCTGTTTTTCTATTCGACCATGGTCAAGGAATCAAAAATATCTCCAAATGACAAAATGACAAGCGATCAACGAACCGAATAATAACGCTATGTCAGAAGTGGAAAGCAATAATGATATAATCTTCTTCCTTCTTTTTCATGACAAGCAGCCCGTGCGACACAACTCACTCGGGGCGGTAGAAGGAAACGAGCAAATTGTTGGCAAGCTGCTTCACGAAGTAAAGCCGAAGATGATACACGTGTGTTAATGGGAATTTTTTATTTATGTCTTTTCTCGATTCATATCAAGCTTTGTCCTCATCCGTGTATATTGCAATAAAGCAGGCAAGCAATATATCATTATCCTTCTACCACTCGGATCGAGCTATGTTACAGAGCGAGTTTGTCATGGTAGTCGTAGCAACCGTTTTGTCTGTATCGTTGGTTGCTTTATGTGTTTGGATTCGCTGACCATGGTTAAAAAGTACTACGGCCACCACGGAGTCTGTACAGCGCAAGGTTCGAAAATGTTATAAAAATAAAACTGAAATAAACAACTACAATTGAAATATAATGTGAAATTTGTGTTTTACTTAAGTTTTGATGTGTCCGGATTATTGTGGATACCGTAGTCATTCCATTTATGCGGTGGGTGGTACCATCCACGCACGATGTTCTGAGGCATAACCGGGATGTTCTGAGGCATAACATCTCTGATCACGCCTTCCTTCAGAAGGGAAGTAAAGCCGTTGGTCCTCGGTTCATGAGTTGATGGGTCGATAAGTAGGGTCCAGATGTGGGAGCTGCATCTTTGGCGTCGGTAGCATTGGTGCTCAGCACGAAAAGCAATATCGACGGAAAACAAACCAAGGAGAAGAAAGAATGAATTTGGGTCCCTGAATTTGAATCAGACGTTAGAATCCTTTTGCGAAGTTTATTTTAAGCGAAAATGCTAAAATTTATTTCATATATTTCACAGTTTTGTCTAATTTGAGGTAATTTGCTTAAACATCGTTAGAAGTTGAAAGAAAATCCTAAAAAATGTTATAGTGAACACTTTTTTTTTTGTTATATTTTAAATATTTCGAATTTAGTGACACATAGTTGAGTCACAAAACCACTGAAAAACTAATGCAAACATTAGCTGCAGCTCTATAAGCGTTTGATGATATAGTTAGCTATTGAACCCCAGAAAAATAAAATTGAAATGCACCAAATTATATTTTTAAATTTTTATTGAAAAAAAAAACTCATTGAAACAATCATTAGAGTGCCTTGGTGAAATATTATTAAGATTTCTCTTGCTATCAAATACCGAACTAAAAATGCAAGGCATTTGGATCAATTCACCCCCAGATTACAGAAATCAAAATTTCGAAGAAGTGTGATGTGTGTAAGGGCGCACAAATAAAGCACAGTGCAATTCGCTTCAATATAAACTTTAAAAGCAAAGTTAACATAAACATCGCTTGGGATGACAGTTCCATAATGTGACTGAATTTTGTATTCCTCTCAAACTTTTGATTTGTTTGTTTCGTTTGTCACTGCACACACGTTTCTTTCGTGCTGAACGTGTTAACACACAGACTTATGTGTTAACTAATGTGTGCTTAGTGTGGTTCTCTATCGCTGCTCGTCATGGAAAGTTTCCAAGAAAACTCATTAGACTAGGGTAGGTGTTCCAGTAATAGTGGTGTACCTATAGTTACGGTATGGAGGTTGTGCCGGAATAGTGAGGAGGATTCGGATAAGATTATTTTTCATCGATAGCTCTCCTAAAATAAAGCATTTTTGCATATTTCAAACTTAAAATATGCCGAAAAATTACGGAAAATCATTAATTTTCCTTAAGATTTTCACTCCTTTGCACCTACAGTTGCGGTAGTGTTCCTATAATAGTGGAACCCATAAGAAACCAACGCATTCCACTATTATAGGAACCAAAGTTAGCAACTACCACAACTACTGGAACAGTGTTCCTATCAATGGAGGACGATCTTTCTAAAATGTTTTGCAATTTTATTAAAATTTAATATTTTTCTATCAAAATCGAGGTTGAAAGCTATAGATTGACGTATAACAGTTTCGTGTACATTGTATATTCTATTTTTAATTGATAAATTGGCTTAGTACCTCCACTACTGGCTCACCCACCTTATTTGAAAATCTTTTAAATTTACTCACGAGAACCTCTGTATTGCTTTCTCTGGGTATAATATTGGATACCTTTAAAATCTAATCGAGCCTTTTTTAACTAACCCTCAAAATTGTCCCGAAGTCTTGAAGAAATAAATTAATGAATTTTTGAACAGTTGCCCAAATAAGATTCATGGATAGCCAACCGATAAGATCAGTTGTTGAAAAGAACACTTTTTGAAAATAAAATCGAAGCCATTTGTTATACAAGTGTATTCAAGAAATATTTACGGAAAATGATGAAAAGTCGCATTAGTCTATTGCTATTTTATTTTATTTTTCAATATCCTGAGTATCAACTATTAAAAAAGCAATACGTTTTATTAGCTCGGTTCATATACAAAGAGTTATAAATCATAAAATCTCAGCCGGGTCTGATTAATAGATGATTTATGTAGCCGTAAGTAAAACCAATCCAATTTACCGACCTAAAATCATAACTCCTCCTGGTCGACGACCGTAATCAAAACGTATTGCCCAGGTCTAATGACAGACGGTATAATGTGAGGCCATTTCTAAATGGTCAGTCATTATTCATATGAAATTCAGATTATACCTATAAATTACTCCGGGCACTTAAACACGGACAATTTGCATGACTCTTTGCGACAGCCGCAATACGGTAATAACAACAGCAACGGAAGGCAGCGGAAAGCTCATTTCACATTTAGTCACGACATCACATTGAAATCCGAGTTATGTGTGACCGTCCAGTTGAACAGAAAATGAACAAAACGATTAAATATATGTAGGTAAATAAAAATTAAATGATGCTTTGATAAATCCTGCATTTATGCGCTTCTCGCACACACTGGAGTGGTCGCTTCCGAGCACAAATTTTAATCGTATTTTAATAACATCGCCATTAAGCGAAACACTCCCTCCAAGCCTAAACGGTTTCGAAGCATGGCGACACAGAACATTCAGCTACTAACCACTCCCCGTTATTTTGCCTGGTCTTTTTTGTCACTTTCAGCAGCATTCCCCATCGCCCGCCGGATCGGCCATCCCTATCAAAATCGAACGCCACCGAAGCGGAAAAAGCCCCGCACCTCGTTCACCCGGATCCAGGTGGCTGAGTTGGAAAAACGATTTCACAAACAAAAGTACCTTGCATCCGCCGAGAGGGCAGCACTGGCGCGGGGACTGAAAATGACAGACGCCCAGGTCAAAACGTGGTTCCAGAATCGACGGACCAAATGGAGGTGAGTTATTCCATTCTTAGCTAACAAAAAATATGTATTTGACGAATTAGATTTTTTAATGCGTAGACAGTTTGATGGGTTTGATGATGGTTTTTTTTTATTGCTGGCAGATTTGGAGCAATCAGAAGGTCCGAAATGAATCAAACCTTGTTATGTTGAATTGAACTTCCTTTTCCAACCAAATCTGGCAAAGTGGAAATGTAACAAAGAAATTAAATCCCTCCAGACGGCTTTCAGCTTCACAGTCATCATCTTTATGGCTCTTGCAGAAAATTTGAGGTTACATCCCAAACCCTGCATTCGGTTGGAAGATTTTCCTTGTTCTTGGCAAATGAACAAAAAGTTATCCCTGTTGATACCAGGAATCTTGAGACAGAAGAAAACTCTCCCCAAGGACAAATCCTCACCGACCGGAGAACAGCCCGAGACGAGACGAGGAGATAAAATTTAATGTAATTACTCCTATTTAGATAATTAAGTCTGCTCCCGAAAAAGGAAGCTATACCGTTGTTGGCAATGCTGTTTGTGTATGTTAAGAAGTTACGGCCAGTGGATGCTGTAACGTTTATAGCAGTTTAAAAAATGGCTGCCGCGAAGCGTAGTAATATTAATTGATTTTTAAATACCTTCATAAAACCACCGACCAAGTGTTGATTAATGAACACACTGCGTTGGAAATCACCGGCGTACGTGGCGAAGAATGCAAAGGAGGATGTGCCGAATCATGGAAAGACGGGCGAGCTCTTTTATGGTATCAACGGTATAGGTCGAGATGATCAATGTGCTGTACTTGGGCAATGATATTTCTCATTAGCATTTTTCAAATGTGATGCTAACCCACATATATCAAGCGTACTCAATGCGTAAAATTTAACGGTTTAAGCACCGTTCAAAGCATATAATGTTAAGGGATCGGGAGCAACATCTATGTCGTTTCTTATTTTGAATCAAGTATTTAACAATCTACCAAGCGTCTCCATTGATCATTGCGTCATTGGAAATCAGGCCCGATCAGCTTGTGAGTTTTACTTTGGCCATCAATGCTATCAATGAATGTGGACGCCTCATCTAAAGGTACGTTTTGACTTTGTCAGTTCTTGATATGCATTTTTTTTTGGAATTATGCCCCTGGTTGACAGTGGAAATGTTACAAAATGGATTACAAATTTTAATCGATAAATGAAAAAGACGTACCACGTAGCAACACAGCAAACAGCATTATGTCCATGGTGCTTTCGTCAGCTTCATCTTTATTATTATTTAATGTCCATGCTCTAAGTGAAACCACATTTATCTTTTATCCTGCGCCATCAACGAGCTGGACTGATAACAAGAAACAGTATGACGACCCATGCTGTCCAGCACCGAAAAAAACAGCCCTTATGCTGCTTCAGCATGAGCCCATAACAAACGAATAAAAATATAATGAAAGCATGAATTATTCAGAAATCGTAATTAGAAATGTTAATCTCGTAATTGTTGCTCACCTAATTGTTTCGTATAAATTACGTTAAAAAGCACGACTCCTTCATTAATATTCCTTTGCGTTGTTCGGAGTCGGGCTTCAGCGTGGTCGGTCCCCTTGACGATGGTGCAATGCAATTTGCCTCCCGCTTTTGGGGATGTTCTCTTCGTTTGCGCCTTTTTTTTCACGCTGCGGGATGCTGACCGCGGCTACTTTTTTCGAATTCTTTCTTCTTCACGCCACGAATAGCGCAGCACTCCATCGTTCACGATTTACTCGATTATGGTAAAATTATGTTATTTTTAATTGAATTTCAATTAAACACAGATCCAATCCAGCACGGCTTAGCTCTGTACCATTCCGAGATGCTTTTACCCTTGCTTCTGTCAAGTTTCGACCTGCAGCACACAGAGGAGTACTGCTGCGGCCGTAACCGCGGATCTACACCAGGTTTAATTGACAGTTAGCCGACCGTCGATGCCGCTTTGATTGAATAACATTCCACTTTTCTCTTCTCCGTTTGTGGACAGCTGGGAATTCGGTACATTCTTCACGACCAAAGTCTGATTTGATTGCACTTTTTTTCTGACTCGGTTATGGTGTTGCGACCGCAAGTGTGTACAGCAACTAGCTTTCTAATCCATTGCAATATACGAGGACGATGTGCCTACGACAACCGCAACGACGACGACGACGATGGTGGTCACAGAAGACATGAACTTCAGCAGATGCAAATCGAGTAGCACAAACTAATGTTGTTTACACACCAGGTACCGGTGTTAGCTGTCAATCGTGACGTTTTTTTTTTTCTGGCAGTTTGGGAAAGATGCAATGTTTTTGAATTGCTTCAGAGAGCGAAAAAAAAGTGGCAGGATTTTTTATTACGAAAGACTGTCGAGGTGTTTTATAGCTCATAACCCATTTACTCCAGATACGAACGACTTATACACAGCAAATTGTAATCTTTAGCTCAAACATTTTCGACGTCGGGGCCTCCCTTAGATCAGTCGATAAAGGAGCAGCTACAAAGCAAGACCATGCTGGAGGTGGCTGGGTTCGATTCCCGGTCCGGTCTAGAAATTTTTCGGGATGGAAAATGCCTCGACTTCCCTGGGCATAGAAGTATGATTGGACTTGCCACACAATTATACCAATGCAAAAATGGTACAGGAATCGAAAGCTCTCCCCAAGTAACCAACAAGCCCGTTAATCGCCCTTTTTGGTATATAAGGCGGCTATACGACTGATATAAAGTTCGAAAACCCTATATTTACCTTATATCGCAAAAAGGGCGATTAACGGGTAGTTATCGGGCTTAGTGGGTACTTGGGTCAATTAATAACTGTGGAAGTGCATCTTAGAACACTAAGTTGAAAGCACCCAATAAGCTAATATGCTATATGCAATAAGCTTGAGATGCGAAGAATAAGAAGAATAAAAAGAAGAAGAAGAATAAGAAGTAAGACGTTTGATCAAAGTTGTTGTCAGGATTGGTAATAAAATGTAATCGTACTGAATATCTAGGAGCAGTGCTGAGTTGCATCACGGTACTGACAGCCTTTAGATTGATAAAAGAGATTCCTACGGTTAACAATCAAAGGAACTGAAAACCCTCTCTCCGTAAAACTTCTCACCAGTATGACACAACAACCGTGAGATATCGTTGTTTTGCTTTTCTCACTCATTCGCAATATCACTAACATCTGCCATGTTTTACCATCATATCACCGAGTAAAAATAAACAGACATATAAATTGACCGTCATCTCATTTCGAGCATAAATACGGCTATGACGGTCATTCCCCTTCCAAAATCACGGCGATAGCTGTGATGTATCAAGGAAAAAGTCTTATCCTGCGTTATACAATCGTATCATAACCAGTAATTATTATTGTGATAATTCATATCTGCATGAACACGTACTCCCTGCAGTCACGAATGCTTATTCATGGATAGAGATTTTGTAGCTATTCATTTTTTCGGATACCGTGACGCGTGAGCTCCAAGAATAAGGATGCTGACCGCATATCGTATCCACATTACCGAAACCCAAGTATCAAGGGATCCTTTAAAAGCAAAACCAATAAAAAATCCTTGCGTAAATAGGAATTCACTTCTAAATATTGCAATTGTGGCTAGGAATCAAAGCAACCATTGGTATCCATCAACAAAGAAAACTTCAAATCGTTACAAATTCGTTTATTATTCAGTTCCAAGCTGGATCGGGTATCAAGATTGGATCTGCATGTTTTCGGAAAAACGTTGATCGTTTGCTTTTAAAACCCAGCTCAGGTTGATGTTTACACTTACAAAAAGTTCGGTTTCGCACTGATTTGTCGAAGTTGGTTCTATGATGGTCCCTGCAATTTTTCGGAGCAATTCAAAAATATAGGATTTTTCGCTTCACTTTTCACATGAAACGTAATAATGTTGAAAAGATATTTGTTTTGACAGTAAAATTCTCGTGAGCTTGTCAATTGTGAGTTGCGCCAGTTTTGAGATTTATTAAGCATCGTAAACAATGACGCGTACATAAAAGAGAATAGATATAAGGTGATCCAAGAGACGTTTCTCAGTGGAACTGACAGCTAGAAATCTAGAGTGTGTGAGTGATCTGGTGTTAAAGGTGATGAATGTAATCATAAACAAAGCAGAAATTCATATGAGAATAAACTGCCAGTTCTACTGTGATCTGTCAAATGTTCTTGGTAAACTAAAAAGTCAGCTGATCGCAAGTGTCTCGTGGACAGCCTTATTGCCGATGGATCATAAAAAAAAAGTGAAAGTGGCTTTAATTTGCATGTTAAGAAATGGAATTTTTGAAGATAAACGGATATTTTTCGACATTGTAACGTAATAACACCCACATATTTATAAAATTTCATAAGAAAATGAAAATCCAACGTTTTCTTTAAAATGTTTCGTATGTTCTGAACTCAACAACTTTTAGCAAGAACAGGAAAATGAGGGAACATTATTCTCACTTCCCACTTCCCACTTATAAATGCCCAACAGAGATGATCAGTGAGTGAATGATTTTGCTACTCTCTCCTTGTCATTTAATCTCACTGTCATGGATGGCTTTTATGAAGACGGTCTAGTGAGGTAGAGGTGTTTCCAAGTGATATGCTAGTTGACCGTCATTTCTGAGATGTGATGGTTATGCGAGGATGACCGTCAAGGTACAATAACCGTTATGATAATGCACAGCACTGCCTAGGAGTGATGAATGACAACCGGCTTAACTTCAACAGCCACGTAGGCTATGCCTGCGAGAAGGACGCCATCACGGCAGCTACTAGAATCATTTCGAACAACACAGGACCAAGTAGTAGCTACAGGCGTGCTGGAAATCAAGCAGAATCGAAGGATGTTGAATGAAGATTCAGACTCATCCCAAGAGACAATTTTGGTTTTATGGGGGTTCTGTAGAACATGATTTAGACTTGTAGAATGCTTCAAAACCTCGATAAAACTTGCAATGTTACTTGGGATGGCCATGCAAAATATGAGAACGCTTACAGAACCAGCTCGT